AAATCCATGATGAACATAGATGCAAAAATCTTCAATAAAATATTGGCAAGCTGATTGCAACAGCAAATCAAAAAACTTATTCATCATGATCAAGTAGGATTCATCCCGGGGATGCAAGGCTGGTTCAACATACGCAAGTCTATCAACGTAATTCACCACATAAACAGAACCAAAAACAAAAACCACATGATTATCTCAATTGACGCAGAGAAGGCATTTGACAAAATTCAACAGCCCTTTATGCTAAAAACCCTCAATAAACTTGGTATCGATGGAACGTATCTCAAAGTAATAAAAGCTATTTATGACAAATCAACAGCCAATATCATACTGAATGGGCAAAAACTGGAAGTATTCCCTTTGAAATCCGGCACTAGACAAGGATGCCCTCTTTCACCACTCCTATTCAATATAGTACTGGAAGTTGTAGCCAGAGAAATCAGGCAAGAAAAAGAAATAAAGGGTATTCAAATAGGAAAGGTGGAAGCCAAATTGTCTCTATTTGCAGACGACATGATAGTATACCTAGAAGACCCCATCGCCTCAGCCCAAAAACTCCTGAAACTGATAAGCAACTTCAGCAAAGTCTCAGGATATAAAATCAAGGTGCAAAAATCACAAGCATTCGTCTACGCCAATAACAGACTTAAAGAAAGCCAAATCAAGATTGAACTGCCATTCACAATTGCTACAAAAAGAATAAAATACCTTGGAGTACAACTCACAAGGAACGTAAGGGACCTCTTCAAGGAGAACTACAAACCACTGCTCAATGAAATCAGAGAGGACACAAACAGATGGAGAAACATTCCACGTTCATGGTTAGGAAGAATTAATATTGTGAAAATGGCTATACTGCCCAAAGTAATTTACAGAATCAACGCTATCCCCATCAAGCCACCATTGACTTTCTTCACAGAACTGGAAAAAACCACCATGAACTTCATATGGAACCAAAAGAGAGCCCGCATAGCCAAGTCAATTCTAAGCAAAAAGAACACAGCGGGGGGCATCACACTACCGGATTTCAAACTATACTACAAGGCTACAGTAATCAAAACAGCATGGTACTGGTACCAAAACAGAGATATAGACCAATGGAACCAAACAGAGGCACCGGAGGCAACACAACATATCTACAACCATACAATCTTTGATAAACCTGACAAAAACAAGCAATGGGGAAAGGATTCCCTGTTTAATAAATGGTGTTGGGAAAACTGGATAGCCAAGCGCAGAAAGCAGAAACTGGACCCCTTCCTGACACCTTACACTAAAATTAACTCCAGATGGATTAAAGACTTAAACATAAGACCTGGCACCATAAAAACCCTAGAAGGAAATCTAGGCAAAACTCTCCAGGACATAGGAGTAGGCATGGACTCCATGAACAAAACACCAAAAGCATTGGCAACAAAAGCCAAAATAGACAAATGGGACCTAATGAAACTCCACAGCTTCTGCACGGCAAAAGAAACAGTCACTAGAGTGAATCGGCAACCAACAGAATGGGAAAAAATTTGTGCAGTTTACCCATCTGACAAAGGGCTGATATCCAGAATTTACAAAGAACTCAAACAGATTTACAGGAAAAAAACAAACAAGCCCATTCAAAAGTGGGCAAAGGATATGAACAGACACTTTACGAAAGAAGACATATATGAGGCCAACAATCATATGAAAAAATGCTCATCGTCACTGGTCATCAGAGAGATGCAAATCAAAACCACATTGAGATACCATCTCACGCCAGTTAGAATGGCGATCATTAAAAAATCTGGAGACAACAGATGCTGGAGAGGATGTGGAGAAAAAGGAACACTTTTACACTGTTGGTGGGAGTGTAAATTAGTTCAACCATTGTGGAAGACAGTGTGGCGATTCCTCAAGGCCTTAGAAATAGAAATTCCATTTGACCCAGCAATCCCATTACTGGGTATATATCCAAAGGACTATAAATCGTTCTACTATAAGGACACATGTACACGAATGTTCATTGCAGCACTGTTTACAATAGCAAAGACCTGGAATCAACCCAAATGCCCATTGATCATAGACTGGATTGGAAAAATGTGGCACATATACACCATGGAATATTATGCAGCAATCAGAAATGATGAGTTTGTGTCGTTTGTAGGGACATGGATGAATCTGGAGAACATCATTCTCAGCAAACTGACAGAAGAACAGAAAATGAAACACCGCATATTCTCACTCATAGGCGGGTGATGAAAAATGAGAACACATGGACACAGGGAGGGGAGTACTAAACACTGGGGTCTATTGGGGGGAAAAGGGGAGGGCCAGTGGGAGTGGGAGGTGGGGAGGGATAGCCTGGGGAGAAATGCCAAATGTGGGTGAAGGGGAGAAAGGAAGCAAAACACACTGCCATGTGTGTACCTACGCAACTGTCTTGCATGTTCTGCTCATGTACCCCAAAACCTAAAATGCAATAAAAAAATTTTTTAGAAAAAGTCTATTTTGGTAAACTAAAGAATATTTTTGTGGTTTGTATTAAAAATTTGAATAAGTCCACCATTCCATATCTCAGAGTGCACTCTATAGATACACTTGTACAGACAGGATCACAAAGATACAAATGGAATGATGTTCACTGCCATTATAGTTGGTTTTTTTCTTAAGTAGCTTTACTGAGATTTAATTTACATAGCAACTCATTAGCTCATTTGAGTATACAAGTCAATGACTTTCAGTATATGTAGTCAAACTATCATTACCAAAATCCAATTTTAGAACATTTCATCACCCCCAAATGATCTTTCACACCCATTTGCAGTCACTCCTTGTTCACATCCCTAGCCATAGGCAACCACTAATTTTTCTGTATAGATTTTCAGTTCCTGGACATTTTATATAAGTAATACATTTTAGTTTTAATTGGGGTATGGCAAAAACTCAACATCATAAATCATCTTTCACTAATACTCTAGTATCAGCTATGGATATGATTTAAAATCATGCTAAAATTTAGCTTTAAAATCAAGAATACAGCTTTAATAAGGAGGAGATTAGGGAATATTAAGTGGCATGTGACAGAAAGTGATATTAATACATTACATGTATACTGTCTTTATTCAGAATTTGATAAGCAAAATCAGTTGAACTTTATGACAGAGTAATTCTGTGCCGCTGTTATACGTTTCCTCATCCATAGGGGACACAAAATTGATCTGTGCATTTTCAAGGCAGGAGGCATTGGTACTTTGACAGAGTTCTATTCTGGCGACAGTATGCCTGTTATGCCAAATGTCTAATGTACACCTAATGATTGTATTATACACAGAAAGCTGTTATGCACTGATTACCAACTGCTGTTTATAATCTTTTGAATGCATTTTCATGCTAAAGAAAATGATGGAAAAAGCACAAGAGGGAGAAAATGGAAAAGAAAGTGATCCGTAAACAATGGGGCTTCGTATAGCTCCATGTGGCCACATCAAGCCGCATGTGTCTGAGAATCACTGACAAGTTTTAGGAGTATAATGAATTTCTAGGTTTAAAAGCAATAAAGCAAATAGTAGCCTCTGATTTAATATGTACATAGGTTCCAGGGGTGTAGTAACACTTGATACTGTGAGTACGGTGCTGCTTGGGTCTGATGGCGACTGCTGAGCTGACTACACCCAACCACAAATCATCAATCATCCTAATCAATAAGAGGTCAATTTTCCCATGAGAAAACTGCTGGTTTAAATGTTAAGGGTTTCTTTCTATGTTTGTTATCCAATTATATTTTTAAATATTTTAGAGGTTCAGTAAAAAGAAAATAAAGGGATTTAGTTCATTCGAGAATGGTAGGCACCAGGAAATTGAGCCACCCTGATAGGAAATCAAGAAGGCATGGGGTACTCTCAAATGAGACCAGATCCTAAAAGCACTGCTTTCTTTCTATGTAGCATTAGAAGGCTACCATTTTGGAAGAAATGTGAGAAGGCTGTAAGAATAGATGGGCTGGTTCCTCAAAAACTTAAACAAAAAATTACCACATGATCCTGCAATACCACTCCTAGGTGTATATGTATACCCAGAAGAGTTGAGAGCAGGGACTCAGATACTAGTACACCAATGTTCTTAGCAGCATTATTCACAAAAATCAAGTGGTAGAAATAATCCTAGTGTTCATCACCAGGTGAATTGATAACCAAAATGTAGTATATCCATAATATGAGCTATTACTCTTCTCTTTTTCTTTCTTTCTTTTCCTTCCTTCCTTCCTTCCTTCCTTCTTCTTTCTTTCTTTCTTTCTTTCTTTCTTTCTTTCTTTCTTTCTTTCTTTCTTTCTTTTTCTTTTTCTCTTTCTTTCTTTCTTAGAGGTGAATTGATAACCAAAATGTAGTATATCCATAATATGAGCTATTACTCTTCTCTTTTTCTTTCTTTCTTTTCTTTCCTTCCCTCCTTCCTTCCTTCCTTCCCTCCCTCCCTCCCTCTTTCCTTCCTTCCTTCCATCCTTCCTTCCTTCCTTTCTCTTTCTCCCTCCTTCATTTCTTCTCTTTCTCTCTCTCTCTCTCTCTCTCTCTCTCTCTCTCTCTCTCTCTCTCTCTCTCTCTCTCTTTCTTTCTTTCTTTCGTCTGTCTTTCTTTCTGCATGAGTCTCAGTATATTGCCCAAGCTGGTCTCGAACTCCTGGGCTCAAGCAATGCCTTGGCCTCCCAAAATGCTGGGAAAATATTCTTCATCCTTAAAAAGGAAGGAAATTCGGGTACATCTACAACATGAATGAACCTTGAAAATAATATGCTGAGTGAAATAAGCTAGACATAAAAGGAAAAATATTCTATGACTTCACCTACATAAGGACCTAGAATATGCAAATTCAAAGAGGCGAACAGTAGAATGGTGGTTGCAGAGGCTGGAGAGTAGGAGGAACAGGGAGTTATTGTTTCATGGATACAGAGTTTCTGTTTGGGCTGATTTAAACATTCTGGAAATGGATAGTGGTGATAGCCACATAACACTGTGAATGTATTTTTTTTCTTTAAACATACAGAACGCTTCATGAATTTGCACATTACCCTTGCACAGGGGCCATGCTAATCTTCTCTGTATCGTTCCAATTTTAGTATATGTGCTGTTGAAGTGAACACATGGATGTATTTAATGCGACTGAAATGGCCAAAATAGAAACTTTTAGATTATGTATATTTTACCACACTGTTTTAAAAGGACAAAAAAAGCATACTTGGGCTATAGGAAGATATAACAACAAATGTTAGAATTAAACTTTTCAACAGCTGATTGTCCTATTTTAGCCTTCTCTGAGGTGTTAAGAAATTAGAATGCCAATTCTGGTTATTTTTTTTTTCCTAATGGGAGGAAGAAATTAGCTGCTTTAACTTTTTTTTTTTTTTTTGATACAGGATCTCCCTCTGTTACCCAGGCTGGAGTACAGTGGTACCATCTCAGCTCACTGCAACCTCTGCCTCGTTGGGTTCAAATGATCCTCCAACCTCAGCCCACCAAGTAGCTGGGACCACAGGTACCAGCTAATTTACGTATTTTTAGTAGAGACAGGGTTTCGCCATGTTGCCCAGGCTGGTCTCAAACTCTTGAGCGCAGGTGATCTACCTGCCTCCGCAGGTAGTGCTGGGATTACAAGCATGAACCACTGTGCCCAGCTGCTTTAACATTGTAGATTACAATTAATTTTTTCCTTTATTATTTTAATAAGTAATTATTAAAGGCTCGCTACATGCCAGGCACTGTTCCAGTTGTTAGTAAACAGAAAGAAAAACATCTTCTTGAGCTTAGTGGAAGAGATATAATAAACAAACAAATATTTATTTATTCACTTATATTTTATTTTTAATAAAGATGGGGTCTTTATGTAGCCCAGGCTGGTTTCAAACTCTTGAGTTCAAAGGATCCTCCCAAAGTGAGGATCCTAATACAGATGTGAGCCACCACACTTGGCCATAATCAAGGAAAGCTTTAAATGAGTAAGATGTTTCTGATAGTGAAATGTCTCATCCAAAAAATAAAATAGAGTGACAGAGAGTGGGAGCAAAAGAGGCAAAGATGCTACTCTTGAGAGGGAAATCAGGAAATATCAAGACCAGAATGATCTGAAAGCAGCAGCAGGTCCCAGACCTAAAGGCCTGCATTTCTGCTAGAGGACACACTCATTAAAAGGCCTGATGGTGGAAAATAGATTGGCATTTTCAGGAAACAGAAAGAATGTTCTTGTGATGGATCACATGGAAAAAAAGGAGACAGCCAGGATATGAGAATGGAGAATTAGGGTGCTATATGCTATATTGAGGAGTGCCCAAAGGGAACCCATTGCAGGGCTTTCAGCAGTGTAGTGACATGATCCAGTTTATGTTTTGAAAGGCAAACCTGGCAGCTGCATGGAGAATGGAGTAAGACTGAGTTAAGAACGGAGGCATGGAAACCAGTTAGCATGGAGGTCAGGTTGGAGTCTAAGGCAGTGGTCCCCAACTCTTTTGGCACCAGGGACTGGTTTCATGGAAGACAATCCTTCCACGGACTAGAGCCAGGAGTGGGTGGGTTGGGGGAGATGGTTTTGGGATAAAACTGTGCCACCTCAGATAATCAAGCATTAGATTCTCATAAGGAGCCCTCAACCTAGATCCCTCACATGTGGAGTTCACAATAGGGTTTGTGCTCCTATGAAAATTCAATGCCACTGCTGATTTGACAGAGTTCAGGAGGCTGAGTTTAGGCAGTAATACTCATCTCCTGCTGTGTGGCCTGGTTCCCAACAGGCCATGGACCAGTACCAATCCAAGGCCCAGGAATTAAGGACCACTAGTCTAATGCAATAGTGCAGGTGAGTGATGATAACAGTTTGGAAGAGCGGGGTGGTGATGCTAATGGAAGGAAGTAGAAGAATTAATGGCAACTGATAATAAAATGTGTCAGGGATATTTCAAAGCACTTTAAAATATCATTTTCTTTAATTGATAATCTGAATTGTGTCTGATACCCTACAGCTTTTTCATAGCATATCAGGTGGTTAATATTTGAAAGTAAGCACATACATTCATAGGAAGAAAATAAATAATTGGGTATAGTAAATCTCCAAGGCTATGAGATCTCTTTGCTATACACTCTTTATGTGTTTATATATTTATGTATGTATGTATGTATTTATATCTTTTGAGATAGAGTCTCACTCTGTCACCCAGGCTGGAGTGCAGTGGTATGATCGTGGTTCACTGCAGCCTTCACCTCCCAGGTTCAGGTGATTCTCCTGCCTCAACCTCCCAAGTAGCTGGGATTTTACAGGCAAACATTGCCACACTGGCTAATTTTTGTATTTTTAGTAGAGATGGGGTTTCGCCATGTTGGTCAATCTGGTCTCAAACTCCTGCCCTCAGGTGATCCACCCCCCTTGGCATCCCAAAGTGCTAGGACTACTGGTGTGAGCTACCACACCTGGCCACTTTATTTATTTTTATATAGCATTTTCACTTAACAATTTGCTATACACTTTAACAGTTCAACCCCAATCAGTGACAATTATATGAATGGCATACACAAGTTCTTAAGGAAATATCTGATGAATAAGAAAATATGCCTTAATAATTAAATTCTTCTTCAAAGACTTCACTGTTACTATTCATTCAAATGTGACAGAAGCCAGTTCAGTTCCACATGTATTTTGTGTCCAGCTGTACATTAGGTGCTGAAAATGAAAAATTAGATAAGTAAGAGACTTTGCTTATAAGGGCTACAGGCTTTGCAAATCATATTTTGTAATGATGATGATGATGGTTCAAGGAAGCTTTTATAGGGCTGATTCCCAATTTCCTTCTTCACTACAAGTAAGTACCTTAACTTTTAGTTTAAAATGCTGTTTTCTCAGAACAGTTGTAAGACAATTAATTCATTTGTAAATAAGTTTAGAAAATGTGAATTTTAACAATGTTAAAAGGATTTAACTCTATTTCAAAAGTCTCAGTCTATAATATATTAATGTGCAAAAGGAATATGGTATTATACTTCCTTTACATTGTAACTCTCTAAAGGCACTCCTTTTAACATTCCCTCAAACAATGTCCTCTAGGACACAGTTTAGGAAATGTTACTTTACACAGTCCCTTTACCTTACCCTCTGCACCATTTCCCTTTCCCTTTGGGACAATCCAGTCCCCTTCACTCCTCGACTCTTGTGTCAGGGTCTTTCTATTCTTAAGGCTATAGGAGATTAGTTCTCTTTTTCTCTGTCATTAGTTACTTTTCTGCGAAAGCTTTGCTTCCTAGTAACTAGTTTCTGACTTTCACAAGTTAAATATGATCTACTTGCTGGATTGGTCAATTTTCATTATATTATTGGGCTTCAACAGACTCTATTCCAGAAGCATATGCTGTATCTATCTCTGTAGGGTTAATCTGACCAAGGAAATTGCCCATATTTTTCTCCACACTGGTTCATGAGGACCATAACCTTTCAGATCAGGAAAAATATTCTAAGGTACCACTCTCCAAACTTGTCTGTGCTTCCAAGTCATCCGAAGAATTTTGCAATAACACAACTTCCCTGGCCCTATCCCAGGCCTAACAGAAGCCGAAAAATATTCCAAAGTGACTCGAATGCAACTAGATCCTAGTCACTCAAATCCAGTTTTATTTCTCCTGCCTTAAATTTAGGAGTAGAGCTAAGTTTATAATAAAGTAACTAACATTTGTTTATTGTCTTATAGATTTTAAAATGTTTTCTTAAATATCTTTAAAACCTCTGAGATGTAGGCAAGGCAGGAATTATAATTTCCACTTAATAAATGAAATTTATAAAAAGTCTAAGACCTCCTGACCACTAGTAATCAAGGCCAAGTTTCCTGACTTTAGTCTTCAAAATCTACCTGTGACTGGTGAAAGGCAGTAACAGTAAAGAATGAAAAATTCTGTGATGAGGCAATGGAAGGAGCGGTATGATGAGATCACACAGCAAGAGTAGCCAACACATTGTGGGAATGTACAGACAAGGCTTCCAACGCAAAGACTGAGTAGACATTAGACATTAGAGGGGAAGATGTTCTCCAGGTTGGAACAATAAAAATTTGAGAAAAGCCAAGGCAAGATATTGAGAAAGAGTTTGTTTAAGAAACAGAAAGAGTTCAGATTGTCTAAAGTAGAGGCTTGAGGGAAGAAAACAGCAAAAGATGAGGATGAAGTGGTAGACAGGAGCCAGGGAGCAATGTTAAGGTCTTGGAAATATATCTGAAGGACAATGGGGAATTATTGAAAGATTTTGAGTAGAAGAGTGACCTGATGAGGTTTGGTTTTAAGGGTTCACTTTGGGTGAAGGATGGAGAATCATGTGCAGGAATGTAAGGCTGGAGGTGAGGAGGACAGTTCAGAGACTGTGCCAGAATTTCTTAGGATAGGATATCATGCTTGCACTAGCACAGTGGTGGAGGTGGAGAGAAGACATAGATGGTGGAATCTACTCTCCTTAGGCAACAAGGTGGCTAGTGTCACCATTCATTGAGAATGAGATCAATATGTGAGGAGCTGGTTGGGATAATGTCTAATGTGGACACATCAAAGTATAATGTCCATAAAGCAAATACATAAATAATATGGGTCTGAAGTCCAGGAATAGAGATAAAGAAAGTGGTAAAAACTTGAGAGTCAGACATGGATGCCATGGGGGTAGATGAGTTGAGAATATGAGGAAACTGGGACCTGAGAGTAAAAATGTCATGGAGCTAGTATTAGTGGAGCTGGGATCGTAACCCAGATCTTCTGACTGCTATTATAGTGGTGTTACCTAAGAACCTGCAGGGAGAATCCCAGCATAATAGCTGAGAGTTCCGACTCAGAGAGCAGAAAGAAAGCAGTCTGAACGCCAACTTGGACACATATAAGCCAAGTGATACTGGGCAAGTTAACCTATTCTCTTTATGCCTTACTTTCTTAAGCTGTAATGAGGAGGTAATAACAATATCAGCACAAGGATGTTGTAGAGATTAAATGAGAAAGCATATTTGGGCTGGGCATGGTAACTCACGCTGTAATTCCAGCACTTTGGGATTATAAGGCAGGCAGATCACTTGAGGTCAGGAGTTCAAGACCAGCTTGGTCAACATGGTGAAATCCCATCTCTAGTAAAAATTCA